CGGATGATATAAGGATACATCATCAGCCTCACTGCTACCTGTCCTCAAGATGGTCCCAGAAGCAGTTCTGGGACCAATAGCCCAGCAAACTCAACAGCCAGTTTCCAAACAAGCCAAGGAAAAAGAACTGTTCCTTGAAAATATAAAAGGCTTACAAGGTTCTGTGCTTTGGAAAGCCTATTTTTAGACCAATTATCAGCACATCACAGTGGAAAACTTGATTTCTCCTAGGCAATTGTGCCATTTGTCAGATGTTGAAATTTTGGCATGTAGGAAAAGGCACTGCAATGAAATGGCAGTCAAGTGGGCTGTGAACAGTGAAGATACAACACTTGAGGAAAATTTTATAAAGGTGCATGTAGAGCCAACACCAACAGAAAACTTTCCCAAAGAGAGATTGAAGACTAATGAAAGAACACTGTATTATTTTTTGGAAAGATCTTTAAATAGAAAAAAGAAAAAGTAAAGCAATAATAAATCTAGAATTACAGAAACAAGGAACCTCTGTAAGAATAACACACTCATGGCTAGCTAGTGACTATGGACATAGCTGGAGAGCAAAATTGAGAAGAGGCTGTGTTTTCAGTTTTGCTTTGTTTTGTATTGTTGGCTATGGGGGAGGAAATGGGAGGGAAAGGACAGGAGGGAGGGAGGGACAGAGGGAAGGGTTTATTAATGTGATCCCTTCTCTTAAAAAAATACAAAATTAATACATCCTCTGCCCTGTTGTCCCAAAAAATGACAATGTTATCACATGAGGGAAAATAAAATATACCAAATAAATGTGTGGCAGGGTAATTGGTAAGGTAATTAATAAAAAAGAAAGAAATCACCAGATAGAATTTATTAAAAGATAAAAGTCCACCTTTGGAGGCCTATCTACATCATACAATGTTCAAGAGAGATTCTAAGCAGCAGGCATCCAGAACCCATGGACATATCTTTAAAGATGTATGTATGTCTGTGTCACACAAGAGAATAAAGCCCTTACTCCCTTTTTATTATTTACCTTACTAATAGATAGATAATTTATTTTCTAAATAATTTATTTTATTTGCTTCTTGTTTTTAAAAGAAGTCACTATGCTTAAAAAGTACACTAATTAATAGAGTAAAATTTCTTCTTTGAAAAGAATAATAATGAACAGAATATTTGGGAATGTAGTAGTGGCTCAAGGCTTGTGGGGTCACCCAGCATGTTCACAGTAATGAGATTATTCTTAATAAGATCATCACTCTGTAACTCTTTTTGATGTTGGAAAAAAAATTCTCATTCAAACATATAGATTTTCAGAATGGGAAATGCAGACCAAACACAGTGACACTGCTCTTTATGGAGTGGGGAATCAGTGTCAGATTCTCACAATTATATCAACATGAACACAACAGCTACCCTGTGTATCACTCACTTCTACAAAGCTGCTATTAAAACTGAATGAACTCCTCAGAACTCCTTAGCAGCTGGGATCTGCTTGGGTATTCCTTTTATTTTTTTCATCATTTTTCCTAGATAAAGGTCAGAAGCAGAACAGAAATGAGAATGATTATCTTGCCAATTATTCTTCTGTGCAAGGAAAGTGTTCTTATCTGAGTACAGGAAATGTTATATCAATAAAGGTGATGAGGTTGAGGTACACAGTATGGCTTTTTCTTAATTCAGCAAACAAAAAGGCAAGGTATATTCTACTGACTGCCAGATAATTCCTCTGCAGCATTCTCTGTGAAACAAAGAATGTATACAACAGAAATTGCAACATTTATTTTAGACTGTAATGCTGGAAATCCAAGAATTCAGGCAAAATTTTATTCTTATAAGAATGACAGAATTGTAGGGATAGAAACCAATGCTCTACATGTCAAAAGGTAACTACATATGTCACTGGGAACATTAATTTCGAGAACTTTCCAGTTCAAATTTTTCTGGTTAAGTGTGCCATGCTTTAGAAGACCCACTGGGATTCCACGCAGAGTTTGCAAAGTCAAAGTCTGCATTAAGAAGCCCTGCTTACAACACGATTAGAACCATTTTAACACAGCTTCCCTACTCTTCCTTTTCCAAACAGAAAAGTGAATAAGACATCCCACAGAACTGATAGTTTAATGAGCTTATTTAAAACACTATTCTGAACCTATTCAGTGCATCCCCATTTGGCCTGTATTTGTCCATTTTGGGGCAGATAAAACAAAAATTGACAACTGGATTTACAATTAATAATTACCAGTGGCATTTATCATGTATAGAAACTCTGCTTTATGGTGGTCTATATATCTAAAACTGTGGATTCATTTTATTAGTTAAACAGACATTACTTCAAACTTTAGGTGAAACAAAATTTTCATTTGCTAAATGAAATAGAACTGAATTGTTCAAATCATATATTTTATGAACAGATATGCTGTTCATAACATATAGAATATAACATTAACAAATATTATTTTGAAAATGTCTGTACCAGTCAATTCTCTTGTCCATCACCCCAGCATGACTGAGCACAAATATAGCAAAAAATATGATCTGTACTTATCTTCTTTAAATCTTGTACAATTGGCCAGAGTTTCCACAAAGGAAGGCATCTGTTTCATAAACTCATGAGCATATGGAATGCGGTTTTCAGTTTCATTGAACACAAAAGTTTTGTATAATATGAAACGTATAATATTAATATAATATGAAATGTAAAAAATGCTGAGTATTAATCTGACAAATAATCAGAGAAATTGCTTAATCAATACAGGCAAGTATCCTAGTACCCAGAGACGCCTAAATACTAGAAACAGGGTGCATAAACATAAATTCTTTACTAACAGCCTTTTCAGCAATCTTTTATTATGGCGCAGCCCAAGTGAAAGCAATAATTTCATAATTCTGAAATATATTGCACAGTTTACTTATTTTTTAAGAATATCTATTACTTTCACAGAGGCTGTCATTGTCTTTGCAGTTGTGTATAATGATATTTTTGTAGGCAAAGCTTGAGACAGACAGTACTTAAAAGATTCCATATTAACATCTGAGTAGACATATTTGTTTATATATTACATGCTTGACCACTGTTATCAATTTGTTGTAATGAGAATGCTATTGCTTTGTTACTTTCCATTTTTTTTAGAAATAACTCCAAACATTTATCAAGTGTTTTATGATCTAAAACAAATCCAAGATAACAGATAAAAAAAATTATTTTAAAATTACCTTTAATAAACAACAGACTACAATTTCAAAAGCCTACAGACTACAATTGCACCACGCCCATGCTCCAAAGAATGGATTTTTTAAATTTAATATTGATAATTAAGTAAATCAGTCAAAAATCATAAAAAGAATGTAAGCCAGGGAATAAAATTTGTGAATCGTGCTATTTGGACTTGGACTTATGGCTATCTATTACTATGTCCTTCTGAAGAATTACAAATGGTCTGTTATCCTTATTTTTTTCAAATATTAGAAGCTTTTAAATTTGTGAACTATTGTACATCAGCACTTTATGGCAGACAGGAGAATTCAGGAATACTTTATTCATACACTTACTTATATATCTATTGTATTTCAGACTTGTGTCATCATGGCCTTCTCCTCCCCTCTTTTCCTTCCCTTTTAATTCCATTTCTTCTAAGTCCTGATCAAATCAGTCTTTCTGCAGATCACTTCGTTCTCCTGTAAAGCTACATAATGTAGAAACACTGCAAAGGTATCCAGCACACCTTTGATTCTCTTTGAGCCACAGCCTCGAAGAATTTAATTACTGAGAGTTACACATCGATCAAAATAGTACAATTAGTCTCTAACAATGGTAAATGGCTGTTCTCACTTAAGTCATCATTGGTGTCCAGTAAGATGATTGAAGACTCTCCCTCATGGTACAGTTATGGCAAAAATCAAGTTTGTTGACCTCACCACATTCGTGAAGTTTCAAATGGGTCACAACATACATCTTCCATATTCCTATTTAGTAGTACAAGTGGATTTTATCCTACTCCACCTCTGTTAAAAAAGTAGCTGAAAGAAATGATTTTTTTTGAAAATGGTCTTTACTTACAGCTTGAGATGTAACTGGTCATATACTGTATGTTGATATAAGATCTAAACAACCTATGGTTTCTGAGTACTGTCTCTTTACAGTGCTTATCTACACTTTATGCAACAATCTGCTGCCAGTAAGATTTACCTGAAAGCTCCTTCAGAAATCTAAGAAAACAGTATCAACCATAAAGTTTGAAATCCTATTAATACAAGATGGATTGGGATCCTCAGTGGGCTATTTCCCACCAAGTTGGATATTTCACTAGGAGAAAAATGCCAAAAGGGACTTATCATTAATGTAAAGATACAAACTTATAGCACATATCATATAAATGAAATTTTAAAAAATTCTTCCTTACCTAATTAAAGACCAGAGGAGAAATAGAGTTTAGGAGGGGGTTTTATTTTTATTCCTTCACCTTTTTTTAGTTTATGGGGATTATAAAAAACATTAAGAAAAAGACAGGTATGAGGAAAGTGCTCTGATAGGGAAGGAGAGCATCTCAATTAAAACAAACAAGTGTCCATGCCAGACAAAAACTGGAAAGATTAAAAGCTTCAAGAGACTTTACAATGACTGACAGTCATTTTGCACTACTGTTTAAAATAATTATCAATAGTGCTTCTTTCATGTAGAACTGAGAACAGATCTGTGGGATCATAGAATCCTAAAGTGCTATGAGTTGGAAGGGACCTTAAAGATCACGTAGTTCCAACCCCCTGCCACGGGCAGTGAAACCTCCCACTAGACCAGGCCTTATCCAAACTGGCTTTAATCACTGCCAGGGGTGGGGCATCTGCAGCCTTCCTGGGCAACCTGTTCAAGTGTCTCACCACCCTCACAGTAAAATATTTTTTCTTAATATCTAACTTTAATTTTCCCTCTTTATATTTGTACCCATTAATCCTTATCCTATGACTACACTTCCTGACAAGGAATCCCCTCTCTGGGGAATCCTCTCTCTAAGCTTCTTCAGGTACTGGAATGTTGCTATGAGGTATCCATGCAACCTTCTCTTGTCTGGGCTGAGCAGCCCCACCTTCCTTAGCCTGTCATAGAGAAGGTCCTTCAGCCCACTTTTCAACTTTGTGGGCCTCCTCTGGACTTGTTCCAACAGTTCCATGTCCTTCTGATAGAAGCACCGAAACTGTACACAGTACTCCAGGTGGGATCTCACAACATCACATGGACATAAATAACCTCTTCTTTTTTGAGTAATGTTACTGCATGGGCCTAGTTCCCTTAATTTACATGATTATTGGAGGTGTTTTGGTGTAAACTCAGCACAGATTTATTCCTTTATCTCAAATGTCTCAGCTTTTTCACTTCATTTTAGTGAAAATAAGCATTTGATATAATAACTGGTACCTCATATCTTTAAAAGAAATTCACTTTCCTAACTTGTCCCACTGCTGAGACTTTGGTGGCATGAGCTACTTTATACGAGTAATATTTCCTTGAAAAAGAAAAAAATTGTGTTCCTTAATCCCAGGACATTTAGTTAGCTCTTTAATTCACTTTTAGCTATAAAACATAGATTATAATTTTTTCTTAAAATCTCTCTTTTGGCCATGTCTCTACTGCACAAATTCAGTGTTATGTTAAAGATTACCTGCTCAACTAGCATATTTACCCAGGGAAGTTAAGGATATGGGTACAACTGTGGGCCACAGTAAAACAGGATTAGCCTGGTAGTTAGTGGCTGGGCCGATTGACTCCATCTGAAGGCAGCACTAATGATCTGATTCCCAGAAATATGCTTAATTATGTTACTTTCTTACACTTTCTCCAGTTCCTGAGCAGCTTCAGTTGGATTAAACTCAAGCCCTTTGTCCTGCAGTGTACACACACCCTGAGGCAGAATGTACAGAGCTGTATGAAGTAGCTCCAGAGCTACTCCATAGCCCACCTTTTCCACTCTCAAGCAACCAGCAATTTCAACATATAGCAAATAATCTAATAAATATAGAGCTGCCTTCAGGCAGGGTTCCTTTCCTAAACATGAACTGGTCTGCATTGCCAATTTTCAAAATATCTTAGATTTGTGTAAAAATGAATGAAATATATTTCACTTAATGATTAAAGACAATGTAATTTTCACCAGTGGAACCATTTTATCTCTAGGCTTTCCTTAGTCATATTAAACAATTATGTTGATATTCACCCACATGAATGGGATAAAATATTTTTAATGGGATAAAATAAAGATCACCTGTTTATGTATTCTTGGGTGGTGTTTCTGCTGTAACTTTTTTTACTTAGAGTTAGTTACTCCTGATGTTGTGACATGCTGCTCACTAATGTCTGTTACCTGAAAAATTAAAAAAAACCCAAAAACAATTTTACAAAAAAGAGTCTGTGCCACAGACTTATTTGAGATCAGAGCCATTTTACCAAACCTGAGAAGGTACTTCAATCAGATTAATATTAGTTTAGATGTTTTCAATCACCTTTTATACAAGTGATATGCAATCTGATATAAGTAATGGCACTGCACTCCAAAAATAGAGATATAACAATTTTCTAAAGTGCCTCCTGTATTGTATTAATAAGCTGATAGACTAAGCCTGTTATCTGGCATTACAAATGTTTTCAAAAATTTCTAAATCCAGATCAAAAGTCCAATGAAAATATATGTCCACCCCTCAACTCCAAGTAAGTAGGTCTAATATAATTAAGTAGGTCTAATAAAAAAAACAGATTCATTTATTCCACTGAGGGTTCACTTTTAGCTGGATCTGTAGATGCAATTAAATTATCGGAATGAAAATTCAGGTTTTCATTGCATTGCACTACTGCCTCTCCCAGTGGAGATTATTTTCTTTGCATAAAACAATTAAACTTTCCAAAGTAAAAGTTAATGTTAGGGTTACAACAAACAACTCAGTCAAAATTGAAAGCCCAGCAAGACATGGTATATCAGAAAGTACAAAAAAAAAATGGATTTTGATAGGTTTATAGTTTTAACAAAGTAACATCACTGTAACTTTTGCTGAAATACTTTTCAAAGATAGTGTGAAAGACAAGTGGTTTAAATGGGGTTAAATGAAACTTACAGACTTCATATATTAATGTCTGTTACTATGAGAGACTGCTTTGTTAAAATGCTTTCTGCACATTCTATGTTTTTACAATTATTTTAAAAACTTTACTTGAATAATTATTTTATGAATATTGTATTTAAACCACATAAAAAGGACAAATTTAGTTAAAGTTTAATTTAAAGTAGTTGTCAAATTCTTTCCATTAGAAAGCATCTTTCATACTGATATTTTTGAGAGAGACAGCTTATGAGATAAAAAAAAAAGCCTGAAGATAGATAGGCATCTCAATTATTAGTCACCCTAGTTGCCTGACTAGGGAAATTTCAATATTAGAATTCTGATGTAGAAAAATTTATCCAGAAAAGTTGACTATGTCTTTTACTTTAATAGCACTTCAGGAAGCATAATGTAATTTCTGTTGGTTAATAAAGGATCTTGAATGGTAAGCAATATCTAGTATTTCTATATGCTTCTAGACTTTTACCAAGATGTTTTTAATGTTGACTATCTAATTATTTTGGCCAAAAAGGCCAAATACCATCTAAGAACAAATATATGTTCTGCTTTTTTGATCTTTATAAGTACAATTACAGTTGCACTTTAAAAAATAGCCTCCAAACACTGTTAAAATCAGTAAAGACAAAAAGGCATATAAAATCTTATTATGGATGCCTTTGAGAAATAATAGCTGTATTTAGATAGATACACTTCTCATTTTCTGAAAATTTTCTCAACATGACAGTCTGATTGACTCTGAGTGGGGTTGCTTGAAAATGTGTTTCAGGCAAATGTGTTACTTTTGGGGCCTTTGTTTAAACATGCAGTAGATTGGTTCATTTGGAGGGTCATTTGGTTTTGACAGCATGTGCAGGGAAGAAGCTTTCATGGCATTTAAATAATCACAAGCGCTTGGGTGTTATTTCTATTGGTTTTCCCCCCCTCCACGCAGCCCCCCGAATGAATCCGACTAGCTCAGAGGTATGGGGCTGTGGGGGGAGGAAATAGCATGGAGAGGGAAAGGTATTCAGAAGAGGCTCCTTACCCCAGGGTGTTGGAACAGCTCTCTTTATTCTGTGGTGTCCATGGAGAGCGGGGCAAAAGAGGAAGAGCAGGAAGTTTCAGGGGTCTATATAGGTTTTGGACAGGGTGGGCACTCCTGGCTCCCCGCCAACCCCGTTGGGGCAGGAGGGAGGATTCAGGGGTTATCATGATCAGAGCCACAGAGGCCCTAGGAAAGGGGGGACAAAAGGGTGTCCAGGAGCTCACCGTAACACTTGGGTTTTTAAAAGGTTTACTCAAAGAGCAAAAACTGACTGTATACCTGCCTCTGTCTCCACTGAAAAAAAATTCTCTTCCACTAAAAAGGATATTTTTGCAGTTTCATTGTTACTAAAGTGTCCAGAAGGATGTATTTCAATGACAAACTGTGTGTTTTAAGATTGCCAGAAGCTCCAAATTTTGGTCCAGCCTACTTTCAGGAGGAGAGAGGAGGGAAAGCCAAATCTGAAAGCAGGGAAACTTAAAACTTTCAAAAATCTTTCATTTGGTCCAAATTCTTAAAAAAAAACTTCTTTCCCCCCAATATTTTAGCATTTTATTAATTAAGATGATAAGAACCTGTTCCAAAGTCTGTCATCATCAATGGTGGGACTTTAACTGACATTACTAAATTTTGTAGTAGTCTCCCAAACTGCTCCCCTGAAAATATTCCCTTGTAATAGGACTATCTGTATGTTCAAAGAAAAGCTACTCGGTTTTCAATAAAAAAATAACTTGCAATTGATTCAGTACATATACTACAAACTTACTGGGAAAAAAAGGAAGATCCTTGATAGATATGGGCAGTGGAATTTGATTCAAAAATGTGATTTTTTTTTTCCCCCCTTATGTGCACTAGTTTACTGCCACAGGATGTATATATACATTTACCCTCTTTCAGTCTGAATTTATTTGGTCTTGGATACAGGTAAGCACCCCAGTGATGGGAATTGATTAGATACTATGGTTGTTACCACTCTGGAGGTTTGTGGATCATCAGCCTACTCTAAAAATGCTTCTAATTCATTCATAGAGGAACATAGCAAGGAGACTTTACCACAAATTCTTGCATACAGAGGAAGTGCAAAATGCCATTTTATGTACAACAGATGGCTAAAGAAAACAGCCCATTGGATATACATGACAATAGAAATCTTTCTGCCTCCTTTTTTTGAAGAAAATTAAGAACAAAATAACATGTCTGATTCTTTCCTAAAATTCTCTCTGGCTTAGTACATTGCAAGTATGGTGAGGCAAAATGCCCAAAAGTTAAATTCTGTGCTTGTTTTCTTTATAACCATGTAGGCTGCTTTTCCATTAAATCAACAATTCTGCTTAAGTGGTTTTCAGCAATTTTACTTCTGTGTGTATTCATGCTATGCCTAGAGTTCAGGGACTCAAGGTATCCCTGAAACTAGCATTCAAGCAGAAACCATCTCTCACACTAATTTACTCTGTAACATGCCACTTCCCACTGTCCTCTTTCTTTTTTTGGCTTGAGAAATCCATAACATATTATCTTTGGCAATTGCTCAGGAACCATAAGCAAAGCATCTATTCCAGGCCTGTCCCTTGGTATTTGAAATTTGCATGTTATTCCCAATCTTTCCATTACTGCTCAGAACACTTGCCAAAATAGGAGTAATGTATAAATCTTAAAAAATCAAAAATGGACCCAAAGCACCATCAAACTTTTTTTTCCCTGAGTTTTAGGGTTGAAATGTCTTAAGATAACAGCTTTAATTGGGTCCTCAGAACCAAGCACCTCTCCAAATACAACTAGGACTAGAAGTGTCACATTAGTTATAGAACTTACTAGGGTAGAGGAATCTTGATCTTGTATGTATAAGAGGCTGTTTGGATGCAAACCCTGTGGAATATACTAGACTCCTTGATAGTTTTGATTAAATCAAAGTTTAGAAATAGAATATAAACCAAGACATTAACGGTGGAGAGTGGATGATCAGACTAGATGACTTTTAGAGGTCACCTTTAACCGTAAGCAATCTGTATTTACTATTGATATGTATAGGATTTACCAGTGGATGTTTTTAAGTGTTGTTTCTAACCCTATTAATTTTATGCAACAGGAGAGTGGGTCATAAAGATCAGTGGAGATACATACAGAATAAAAATATATATAACAACATTTTTCCTATTATGTCAAGAAGCAAATGGAGAGGGCCTCCCAGCTAGTTGTAACTCTTTATGAATTTTTAAATACCTCCCACTGGTCAACTATTACATGTTTGAACTTTATTCTCATCAAAAAGGCATAAGCAAATCATTCACATGCTGAAAGAGTCTATTATACTTTGTTACAGTACAAAAATCTGGATATGACTGAAATATGTAAAGCAGGTCTAATGATCAAGATAAAAGATAATAGGTTTCCAACAACCAATGTTAAATTGTTCAAGTATATTTTTATCTGTAGAAATTATGTTTTCATTACTAAATTTTGATATTTTAGCAATTTTACTTTTCATTAACTGAATGTCTATGCATCTAACCACAACCTGTTGTTCATTAAAATCTCAGTGAAAGACCTTATGGAAGCAAGTTTTCATCAGGCCTAAGACAAACTCATGACTTACATTGGCTCATTTAAGTGCAGTAATTGTCCCAGTTTTCTCCTTTGATTGAATTTGTTGAGTTAATTGTGTATCTCTACTTCTGACTGACACAACAGAATTGCTTTTTTTTCAAAGTTAGGGTCATGATTCTGTGCATAAACTGGAATTGCTGATGTCTGCACATCGTGCTTCAGCTGGTGTGATAGGCTTGTAAGTTTAAAGCTCTGGTCCTACTACTCTGCACAGTCACCCCTCTGCCTGTTACACAGGTTATAATGACATCCCTGGGAGTCACAGCAGACAAGGGACAAAAATGTGTGAGCGGTTTTTCAGAGATCTTGTGACACCCTTGATTCTGCTGCATATGCATAATTACCAGCAAAGTGTTGCATCAGCCAAATATAAGAACAAAGTGTTGGCAATAAACAACAGTTTAGGATATCAGACTATTTATACAGTTTTCTCCTAATCCTTGTATGCAGGTCTACTTCAAGAGGGAAATGAGGCAGAAAACACGGGTGCACAGGTTGTGCCTCCGCTATCAGAACGGGGCCCCACAGGGCCTGAGCCCTGCCAGCAGAGTTAGGGGCTGGCAATAGTGTTTAATGACAGCCCCAGAAAGGGTGAAGGGATGAATCAAGTCCGTCATTCCTCCAGGGTCCAAACTGGGAGTCCAATGAGCAGGAGCTGGAGCCAGGATTGTGGCTGATGCAATGATCACCTCTGGGCTGGAGACAGCAATGCCTCTGCTCAGAGCTGTGCTGAAATGGGGCTCCTGGGACCATGAGCAAGGTTTGGAGTGCTCAGAGAAATTAAGGCTTCTCTGTTCACTCAAGGCCCTGACAAATATTTGCCCCTGTTTCTTGTGTCTAGAAAGGTTTTATATTCTGCACATCTGTATTCTTTTGTATTCACTTAAGCAGAAAGTACAGAGGACTATTCTTGGCTTCTCTTACAGTTTACCTTTAAACACACAGGAAAAGGTTTTACACCCAAGCTATAGCTGTAAGCATTACTACAGGGTCCCCTGATATTTTTTTGGTCAAGTTTCATTCAAAATATCTTGCTAGGTTGCTGAAATGCTGTCTTTCTCTGTATGTGCTGTTTCAGCAACAGGGGTTCCACAGGCTAATAAAGCTTCCTGCATCCTGTTTACCTTGACTCAGTCTAGGATGAAAAAAGGAGTGTTTTGCATAAAGAAAAAAGTTATAAAACCCCTCAAACTTCAAGTAGACTGTAGTTTATAGATATACTCTCACCAGTGAGATCTGAAGACTTCATTTTTTTATGAAAAATCACTTGTACATGCTCCTTTGTTGTTAAACTAAGAACAATTTAATATTTGTATTAAATGACAAGAAGTGTATCTGCCATTGAGTTATAGTAGCATTCTAAATTTGCCTTGAATACTTTAAGTGCTTGCCTAATTAGATTATAGTAAATTATATACATACGTTACCTTTGATTCAGACACATTAACAATGGAAATACTTTCACTTTAAAAAAAGTGCGAACAATTTTTCACATTCTTTGTTAAAAAGGTTTTGCTAGCCAAAAAGATTCCCCAAAAACTGTGAATTTCTCTCATCTTGAACCATTGCATTTCAATTATAATGTGGGTTTTGATAATCATATGGTAATGAGTCTGGGGAGGCTTGGGATTTTGTTTTGGTTTTTTTTCCTGCTTGGTTGTTTCTTCTTGTGTTTGGTTGGTTTGGGGTTTTGTTGTGTCCCAATTTTACAAATGCATAAAATGTAATGAATTTTTCATAGGACCCATAGTGAATCTTTCATAGATAGACTCAAAATATAACATCCCCATTAGATACACATTGCAATACCCTACAGGAGTTCTTGAATGGTCACTAAAACTGCATCTCTTCAGGATGATCTATAGGACATAAGATCTCAATCTGCTAAAGGACATCAATAAAAAGATTTGTTGTACACACCTACATCAAGAGTAGTAGCCCAGGGACCTTTTAAAACACATGGAAGTAAATTCATATTTTCAGTTTGACTTATCCTGTGTATCTGGCCTAAACATATAAATGACAATTCACCTACTTAAAAGTAGCTCTCTAGAACCAATTTAGACACCTGAAGAATGTCTGAGTTTTCTGCACAAGTGTGCATTACATAGACTTGTCTTTTTGCAGCAACAGCTGAAGACCAGATTGGGTGCTATGTGTCTAAAATGACTATTGAAAATCTGCTTAGGTGAGTGATATTTGCTTCCTAGATTCCAAGTATGGAAATATTTAGGACCTCAAAAAAGGATTTATTGTCTGATCTTTTCCACTGATTTATATTTAAATAAGTAGCTTTATTTTCAATAGCTGAATCAAAAGAGGAAGAAATAGGCACCTTGGTATTTAAAGTGTAACACACTAAAATGTAACATCTTTTTGTTTTTTCAAAATGTAAATTTATGCTGGCTATGATGGAATCCATTATGTAATTAATTTTTTTTTAAGGCAGATACAAAGTTATTAATATTGCCATTTCAAGTCAATCACTTTCTAGAATTGATGCATCTTAGTTATTTTCAGATGTATTTTTTGACCTTGTATATTAGATGTTTTTCATCAGTGTCAGCAATCAATCTCAGATTCAGATTCTGTTGTAATTATTTTATCTTTAATCAGCCTGGCTTCCACTCCACTGAAAAGTTCCTCTCCATCTTTCTAAATCTATTGCCTTCCATGGAGATAGTATCCACTTGACAAAATCACAGTAAGTTATGGTAGGTTTCCACTTGGCCTCAGTGGAGTGGTAAAACTTCTCCCCCAGAAAAGCAATTTGAATACTTAGGTGTTCTTCCCTCCTAATAGCATTTAGCACAGTTGAGAATATTAACTATTAGATCTGTTCTGGATGGACAGGAAAAGAAGACTTTTAATGCTATTAAATAAGGATTTTAATGAAAGTTCTTACACAAATGATTTTAAATCTCTTCATGGTTCCTTCACATTTAGAATGAAAGTGTGCTTTAATTTTATTTCTTGGGTTTCAAGTCTCTACTGTTAATTGTGATGTTCCCATATAACTTAAACTGTAATTTAAACTATATCAAAATATGGGCTGATAATAACTTCTATGTCTTTATTCAAAGTGAATCAACCAGAGTTCCAATAAAGTAATTTTTAAAAGTGTGATAATTTGTCTGTAGTCCCAGTGAATGTTATTTTGTCATTACTGGCAATAGTCACAGGTTTTCTATAGTCGTTTGAGCTCCTGAGTGCAGGTGCTCAGGACTTAACTGGGCTTGACCTTTTTTACCTTACTTTAACTGCTGTCCCTCTGCCAAGTGCCTGTCACCCTGCCTATTTCAGCTAAAAACCTGTGAATACCTTATGGAGAAGGTGCGGCAAAGCCCAGACAAGACGACTGCAAAACAAACAGTATCCTTTTGCTTTCTCTGAGATTGGGGGGAACTATTCCAACCTTTGAGGTAAGAGATGTGTAGGAAGCAGCCTGTGTGAAGGAAATGTATAGAGGGAGACTCAGGCAGAACCCAACAGTGTTGTGGAAAAAGGCTTCTACATCACATTCATCCCAGAGAGGGAAAAGTCCTCAGCAGGAGCTCCTGGTAAAGACCTCCGTTCACTTTTCCCAAAGTTTGTCTCAAGTAATTAGGCTTGGAGTGAAAGGTATTGATACTGGAGTAGGACTGGCTTACTAGCGCTCATAAATTACCCAAACCATATAAAATTTGGTAATACTGGTGGCCTTGGTCTTAATTTTCATCTCTTATTGTTGAACATGGTTCTGTCACTGCAGTCTGTGTTTAGTTATGTGTCAGATTTCCGTTTACATGGCAATGGCTTGAAAATATCTCATTTTTTGTCCACATCACATCTATTTGTTGGATTCATATAAGTGGTAATGATAATATCCTTGACAAATTTATTTTTATTACATTAGCTTTGGACATTAGCAATTTTCAACACTACTTTGTGAATTAAAAAAAAAAAAATAGGTTTAACCAAATTTAGTTTGTTTACTCATGATTCCTCAAACATTAGTTTACCTTTTAATCTCAGCCCTGTCTTCAGTCCTTGTTATGGAGAAATCCTCTTCATTCAAGGTCACAAAGTTACTTTTCAAAATCCCTTGACATTCTTGTTCCTTTTGTAGTTATATTATGTTATGGACAAATTACCAAATAATCAAAGACAGACAGTGAAAGTCTCAAATGAGTGTAAAATTTTGAAATTTTAATTAATTTTGGTACATGAGGAATAATATTTTCTTTCCTCACTTTGTCTTTAAATATCTGAGTTATGAAGCAATATTCTTTTAATATTTGACCTATATATATGTTTATACATTTAAAGATCTAGGTGTTGCTGTCTCCAAACATCAAACATCAAACACTACTTTCTGTAATGATAAAAATACACTATGTAGGAATCAAGAAATATAATTTTTAAAAAATATGTCAAAGATTATCAGGATAATAAAGGATGTATAAGAGGCATGTGTTCTCTCTCTCTCGGAGTTTCACCCCTCTCATAAATTGTCTGCATAATTTTTATGAAATTTATACTAAAATCTTGAATGCTTTTATTAAGGCTTCAGTGATTTGTTTGTAGAAGATAAATAGCTATTTTCTGTTAAACTGTATAAATAATAATATGTAACTGCTGATATCTACATCAAAAGCTGACAAGATATTAAATTTCAAGCAGCTCTCCACATTGTTTATTAAACTGATAGTTTCATAAAAAAATAAAGCCAAAATATATGTAAAATAAAGAGTGGCTTCTGCTCTTTGCAAACTACAAGAGCAGGAACAAAAGCTCTGTGAATAGCACTCTTCCTATAAATACAAAACCTCTCAGTTTGTGGGGTTTTCCCCATTTATGTGGGTAGAATCAAGGCTTCTTTGAGGTCATATGGCCCAGTGATAAGATTTGATTAGTGAGAGATGCCCAAATCAAGGTGCAAACAAGATCATATACTGAAGTCAATGACATGGATCTTATTTAACAATAAATGTGAGGGAGAGATAAGAAATAGAAAAGGGGATGGGAGGTGAGAGATAGAGAGAGAGAGATTGAGATATCAAGCAGAAGAGAGTCACCACCCATACATCCAGCAGAATTCTTTTGGCTCTTCTCTAGTATGGACTTCTCTGTGGTGGGGGTCCCAATGTTCAAAATTTTCCCAATTTACACATGCTAGCAAAAAAATGAATTAATGCTCATTGGCTACGCTGTTCTCTTATTTTGTTGGTTAAATTATTCACCTGCTTCTAATGCTAATTAATCCCATGCCCAGCCTTTCTCTTCAGTCAGTAGACTGTGAGTCGGTCACTACCTCCCCTTGCTCTTCCCTCTTCCCCAGTCCAAGCTATTTTCAGCACAGTTGCTGAGTTTTCTTTCCTTGTGACCCATAAATTGTGCATTCTTTATGTCCATTATCAGTAATAGATTCTTCTCCCCCAGCTGGTTAACCTTGCCCTAGGTCTGAGATAACACTCAGACAATAGTGTACCACCTTTTCCCTATCTCAAATTCCCAGCTGGGTCCTTTCAGAGATTTATTTTGATCTCACATAAAAAGGGTTTATTCAGAGTGAGGGAGTAATTTGGGAAATTTTATTGGAAGACCAACTGTGTAGTACTTTCACCTGGCAGCTTTGTCATTTTCCAACTTGCAGCTACATGGAAATAAGGTATAGAAGAAACAAATTTTCCTTTGCTTTTTGAAGGAAGTTGCTTATGAAAATATCCATCCCTGGGGGTCAGCTTTCAATTGTAAATGCCTTTCTTTCCTCTTGTATGTGTTATTCCAACACAGGCATATTTCTGATGCCTACTGTCTTATATAAATGAGAAGTATTATTATGAGTAAGAATAAACAATATGTTACTGTCAAAATGTTTTTCAAATATGTTTTCAAAGCAAGATTTAAATAGAGGCTTATCTGCTGAATACTGTGTAATTAGAGTTTTTTGGTTTGCCTTTTACTATGAGTGAAAAATTCTACTTTCTAAACAATATAATTTATAGTTATATAAATAATTGCTTACTTATGTAATTCAATCTCCATTTAATAATTGTTTTCACATCTTTGTTTTTGCTACAACTAAGAATCATTTAGTCAGAAAGCCATAAAATTAAAATAACTTATAATTTATACCCAATTTGTTTAGATTCACATTAGTACCAGTAAACTACCTCTTTATGGCCTAAAAGAAGTTTAAATAGTAAATCCTAAGTTACAGCATCCTGGTTCTTCTGTATCGTGCAGATATCACTCCAAATAGACCTTCTAACTAAAATATTTAATAGTTTGCATCTGGATCATGAATCCCCACCTAGCATCTCTTCTCCTGAGACCCTGTACATACCATTTTCCTTCCTTTATTGCTATTGGAAATGGCCTCTGATGAGGATATCTGTAGTGCTGAAAAAGGACAACAATTTTCAAGGCATCTTGTCCCCATCAGTCTCCCAAACGATTAGTGCAGTCAAAAAAATGTAAAAGTTACTTTTGCAACAGTAGCTTCCAGCACTTCACACACTGAACTAGGACAAGAAGACACTACACATTGAATCCTTTGTATGGATTGTCATCTTCTGCAATAAAAGTCTGTTCTCTTGTCTTAATTTTCCCCTTATTTGAACCAACATTTTTGAGAGAAAAAATATCACTTTACTTTTGATGTCAAAAGGAGTTTCGTTTTAATATTTTTTCACATAATGTCTTCAGAAAGTCTAATCTTTAAAAGTTTTTTTTTAGTTTCCCAAAACAATCCTGTGGCACACTTTTGTAGTAATTTTGAGATTTTGAGTAATTTTAGATTTTTTTACATTGAATCCTCACTGTTTCATATTAACCTGCCAAATTTAGCTATGGTTAAAAGAGCTCAAAGGACTTCATAGTACAACAGAGATATTTTGTTTTAGTGTTAGTAACATGCCACTTACTTACATGAATTTGCAATCTAAAAAATATTTGTTTTGCTCCTCAGATGTGGAAACTTCAGATATCTGTGGTGTCTCCATGGGTTAGGGCTTGGTTTCATGCATTATAAGTAAATTCCTCACTGCCTATTATGATTTATTACACCGAGAGGTGGTGAAAGTTGAATCATGAAATCTGAAGTCTGGATTTGAACCAAAAACACCACAGGCATATATTGTGCACTAGGGATGCTATGAAAATAGGTCGTTCTGTTGCCAAACATATATTAAGAAGACCCCCCCCCAAAATGTTAACTGTCATAATTTCACACTCCAAAGGTTAAGAACTTCCATGCTAACTATCAAGAGATGTTTAACTTGGAGCTTGCTTATTTTACATTGTGCTTTGGTTCTCTGACTCTCTGTTGTTTTATTCTAATATATTACCATTGTGTAAAATTCTAACACTTGAACAATGACAACCAGAGTAAAATAGTAAATAATGACTAAAATATTTATGTTGGGTTTTTTGTTTTAAAGTATTTTAACTGTTTGAAGAATAAGAAGTAAATTACTTCTTGCATTTAATTAAATGTAGGTTAAAGAAAGCACAAAAAAATTCAGAAGTGCCACACTGACATGCCTTCATGTAGGTCTGTATCAGAACTGCAGAGTGTTCTTTTTAATACACCCAGAAAAAATGTACCATTCATTCCTTAGTATTAGTACACCACACTATATAATTTATATGGATGATACAGTCATATTTCAGCTTGCATGCTTAGACATTTTGAAAAACACCATATGTTAAAATTTGAAAAATAATTACTTTCTCACACAAGATAAACTAAAGCTGTTGAAAACTCTGTACCGTGTTTATTGAATTGTGAATTAATTTGATTAACCAGTGCAATACACATCACAGAGTTGGAATTACTGATAGATTTTACAGCTAAGAAAGTATTTCAAATACTTATGTACCTCAAGCACTGGTTTACATTATTTGTGTAGGTAAAAAAACAGAAAGTTGTGTTAATTACCAAAATTATCCTGTTCTCATCTACAGAAATACACAACTAAGATCTACAGCACTGTTGTAATTTTATGTATTAAAAGTTGAAATTTGATTAATTTTGTTGTTCTTAAATCCATGACAAAAAAAGAAACACAAGCATTCACATGAACTAGAATAACATCATAAAAATTCAGGGTTTGAAGATGTTAACAGCCCTTGTAATAGAAATTCAGAATCTAATCACTTTTAAGAATGAAGAAAGGAAAACCTTTCAGTAATTAAAAAAAAAAAAAGGAAAACCTTTGAGTCATTAAAAAAATAAAAAAATAAAATAAGAAGACTATTTTAAAATTATACATGATATAATTTTATAGACTTCTTTAAAAATATTTTAAAATATATTAAAATTTAAATATTTCCTACATTCACCATTAAGGTTATTGGGACTAAAACAGAAGTGGTCTTTTTTTACCCTTTTGAAATTTGCTACTAATTAAACAGAATAAATGTTTTAAAGTGCAGTATATTTTAAGTGATTACTCCACATGATAAAATTAAAGACTGTTGAAGAAAAATCCACAAAATGTTCAGTAAGATTGGAGATTGTGGTGACATGGGTGTATGGCGTAGAAAGGAAATGGAGGACTAATATTTTGGCACAGTTCCCATTAAAAAAACAAACAAACAAACAAACAAAAAAACAACAAAGAAACAATAAAATGAACCCAACACAGATATGCAAAACCTCTCACCACTAGTTTCAATAGTAAAAAATACTTTTCATGTAGAGAACATGTAAGTGTGTGGGCTGTAGTGTAAGTATGTGTCTGCGTTCAATATTTCACATATATCAATTTTACAGAAATGTTTACTTTTTAGGGTAGAATGGATATTTGGGGGGGAAATATGATTTGATTTTTTAGAAAAGAAACATTAACAGGGAAAACAAAAGCCTAGGAATCTTTTCAGATACAGTGGAATATCCACATATATTTCTTGCTGAAAATTAGATTCTGAGTGAATGACATCTACATGTTTTTTTGCTTTTCCAAGACAAATACACTGTTTTATTGAAATAGCTTTAGGAACCCAGCATCACTTCTGTATAGTTGAATTCTCTCATAGAGAATTTTGATATTGAGTAGTGGATTATGGATAGAGACCTAGAGGCTGCCTTTGTACTAATAAATAAAATAGAAATGTCATTGAGGACTAGAATATGACCATCTGTAGTTTTAAATTAATAGCATGGTCCTTAGCAGACTTCTGGCCCATGTCAGGCACCATTCTCCCAGCAGTTGCCAACTAGAGCTACACTGCAAAGGTCATTCCCAGCAGGCAGCTTGAATGCACTTACACTGCTGTAAGGGCCGGGGGAGTTTATTGGTGTCACGATGGGCTGCTCCCAGCCAGCCGGCCTGAGAACCAGCGAGCACTGCTGGGCACACCTGCTGCCTGCTCTTGTAGCCATGGGCTCATTGTCCAAGATGAAATCCTCTCTGATCCTTTTGTCAACCCTCAGTAATATGTGTCTTCATCAGTTAAATA